CACACACACGCACAGACACACTCTTTATCTAGAGACACAAACACACACACCAAAACATTCAGTCAAAACACAATCCAACACATGAAACATCAGACTACATTACCAGTTACTGGTGTGACTGTTGTGCTGGTGCTGCTGGTGTTTGTAACTGGAAAAAAAAAAAAAAGATGAATATTTATGAAGCACAGAATGAGGAAAATGGCCAATTTGCCTGAACAATCCTTACACGTAAAAATAGCCAGGTTTTTTTTTTTTTTTTATCTAGGTGAATTTCTTTAAAACTTTTCTGAAGTTGATGAAACAGCTAAAACATGTTTTTTCAGGAGTTTCAGGAGACAGTTCTGCATTGATAAAGCAGATCCACACGGCTGCTTTAATGGTCAAGTGACTGTGTTACAGTGGTTTAAATAAGGCCTCTGGTCGAGCACGGAGAAGAGCTTACATATCAACTGTCTGGAAATGAAAGCGGTTGGTTTGGACCTGAAAGCATTTCTGTCAAACCTCAGAGGTCACCACGTCTTAATCCGTACGGACAACATCACAGCCACATGTCAGCGGTGTCCTACATAAACCACCAAGGGGAATCAGAGGAAACCTGTATGCTATGGCGAGAGACCTCCTTTTATAGGCACAGACCAATCAGGGACCCTGCCGTCCAGAGTTTGGGTGTGGATATGCTCTCACGGGGAAACACTCCCCTAGGAGAGTGAGAGAATCATCTACAGTGTGTGTGTGCTGTTCACACTCTGTATTATGGCCAAGCATGCGCGCTTAAAATAGCATCTGAGTGTACGCGCAACGGCCACTTTAGATTAGTTTTTTAGACTGGTCAGTGGCGCAATTGTTTTCTAGAACTGCAAAATATCACCAGGGATTGTTTGCTGGAACATGCCTCCTTTTTTGCGCTGAACCGCCCAGAGAGCACATGTAAGTTCATTCCCTAGTTTACCGACATCCGTTTGTGGAGGGAAAAGTCTGCTTTCCTTGGGGATGCACATATACCACCAGTGGATTTCATCTGTGTCTGAAGAAAGTTGTAGTTTGTTCTTATTTCTGTCTCTTTCCGTGCTTGTTCACAGTGTTATTGAACGAATGTTCAGGAACATCACGCTAACCTTTAAATAACATTTTTTGTCATTTGATAAATGTATAAATGATTTTTTTTATTATTTCTTTTTTTATGTTCACAGAACCAACATTGTATATTTGGAGAACATTCTTTTAACTAAACTCTGTTAGCTGGGAAACTTTGTGGTTTATAATAAAATAAACGTTTATTTAAATAACGCTGACATCCTCACGCTGTGCGAGGCATGGCTTAGTTCAATGTAAGGTTCTTCATTTCATTAACTCCAGACAAGCTGAAATTTACCCAAATGTTAGTCCTGTTAGTCACCGCCACAACTGCCCATATGTTCTGACTCTGTCCTGATTGGAGGAGTTTTGGAGATATGTACGGCATCCAGATTGACCCAGATCCCTTAAAGGGTTAGTTCACCCAAAAATGAAAATTCTGTCAGTATTTACTCACCCTCATGTTGTTCCAACCCCGTAAGACCTTCGTTCATCTTCAGAACACAAATTAAGATATTTAAGATATTAAGATCGCTCCTGTATACAGTCCATAGGCTTCTTGAGGGACTGGCTCTTGCTGTCCCCGAAAAGTCATTAAAGACATCGTTAAAATAGTCCAAGTGACTACAGGGGCTCAATCTTAAGTTTATCAAACGACGAGAACACTTTTGTGCGCAAAAAAACAACAAAAATAACGACTTTATTTCAACTATTGGTTTGTTTCTCCCTCTGCGCGAGTCAGGTTACTAGTTTAATAGCGTAATCACACACATCACACACGCATCACACACATGACCAGCGTCGGCCAATAGTGAGCCTTCGTGTGACGTAGCTCTACGCAATCACACTACGTTAACTGACTACAGGCCCATGGAGAAGGAAGTGAATAGTTGAAATAAAGTCGTTATTTTTGTTGTTTTTTTGCGCACAAAAGTGTTCTCGTCGTTTGATAAACGTAAGATTGAGCCCCTGTAGTCACTTGGACTATTTTAACGATGTCTTTAATGACTTTTCGAGGACAGCGAGAGTCATTCCCTCAAGAAGCCTATGGACTGTATGCAGGAGCGATCTTAATATCTTAAATATCTTAATTTGTGTTCTGAAGATGGACGAAGGTCTTACGGGGTTGGAACAACATGAGGGTGAGTAAATACTGACAGAATTTTTGGGTGAACTAACCCTTTAATGTGCATTTTTGGTGTTGCTTCCGAGGATATAGAACTCAGGAAAGACATTCACTCTGTTAGTGCCTTCACTACATTACTGGCAAGATGTTTATTATTATTTCAGTGGAAAGAGGCAGACGCTCCAACACATAGCAACTGGTTGAAAGAAGTGATGTCTTACTTTCAACTCGAAAAAATTAACCTGATTCGAGGTTTGAAACATTTCAAGACACATGTTCCCCCTTTAAAAGATATTTTGAAGACCTCCTCAACATCTGCCTTAATTTCCCCTCATTGCCTCTATGGAATAATCTGCCTTGTTAAATTATCTTTATGGGGATTTTTTGTTGTTGTTTTTTTTTTTTGTTTTTGTTTTTTTTTTGTAATGTGTGTATGCCTGTCTTTTATAAATCCCTGTTAAAACCATTATATTATTATTAATAATATTATAATTATTATTATTGTGTCAGTACTCTTGCTTTATAAAGTGTGATTTATATATTTTTTTGAAGATATGCCAATTCTTTGGAGCATATCCCTTCATTTATTTATTCTTCATATTGACTATGTTTCATATTATATGTTTCACACGCTATAGCATGACCAAACTTGGTGTATTTAGTTGCCATTTCAACACTATATAGAGAAAAAAACTGACAAATCTTTGTAAGATATCACTGAACATTTATTTAACCAGCGAAAGTACATTTCCTACTTAAGTTATTTTTTCATCTCTATTTTTGGTGTTTAATTAAAATTAGACAAATCTGATATTTTTTTTCATCTCTAATCTGTTGTTTAACAGTTGATATTGTTATTTAATGCTTCGCTAACTAGCAGACACTAGCAGGGTTTAAACCCCAGTTGTGCAGGTGGGGCATGTTGTCACACTGCGTTACATTGTGCCCCTATTAGAAATATGCTATTATATTATATAGTTTTATGAATTCTATTAAGAAAACATGAGAAACATGTAAATAAAGACTGAGAGTCAATGTTAATTATAATTATTATTTTGTTTTGAACTATGCTGTAGCTGTGTTTTCCAGTGTGTTTGTTGTCAAACTCAAAATTTTTATATGAAAAAGTTAAAAATAATAATTGTAATAATTGTATTTTTTTAAGAAAAGATTTTGGTTTGACTTGTATATTTTTTGATTAGATGAGATAGCATTTTAAGTTATGGTGATGTTATGGTGATGTTACAATGAACCCCACCTATGGGGCATGTTGTCACATTAACACTTCTTTCAGGGTAAATCGAGAAAAATAATGTGTCTAACCCTGAGAAATCCACTGTAGCAATGGATTAACAAAAATCAACTGGAAACAATATGTTGCTACTGTATTTTCTACAGTAAAGTACTGGCAACAACAGCTGATGTTTTTATTGAATTATAGTCGTGCAGTGAATATTTTATTCTTCTGACACAAGCACACATCTATCCAATGGTACAGAGTGGTGTTTCCTAAAAGCATCGTAAGCCTTAGTTGATCATAGAGGCCATTGGTGTCCGCTGCTCTGCCATCAACTCAGACTTATGATGATGCTTTTGGGAAATACAGCCCTGATCTGTAGACTACATACTAGGGCTGGCTAATAAATATGGATTTCTCGATATTGATCGATTCTCATTTTTACGAACCGATATCGATTCTGTTAAATCTCAAGAATCGATTAGTCATCCTGTTTCATTTGAATGACTGGGACATTGTATCGCGGCTGCGCGCATCCAAAAATAAAACGCAATAATCTTTGTCCTTTGTTACTATTGATATGAAACAAAGTCTCAATTTTCAAATTACGTCCATTTTCTTTAGAAATTCAAAAACATAAATAGAGTTTTGGCGTGAGATCACTCTGGCGCAGCTCTAGAGAAGCAGCAGCGCTGATCTCACTTCCGGCTTAATAATACCAGTCACAGCGCCAAATAAACATGAACGAGCATCTGAAAGTGTGTTAAAAGATAGAGTACAACTTATCGAAATCCGTATCATGTCACATTGATTCGCTCAATCAGCGTTTCAACCGTGGAAACGTCAGTTAAATAGCTTGTAATCAATGTCATGTATCGTCATATTTACCTCAGAAAACCCACATAAACTCGTTAGTCAGATAGAAAAAAATAACTCTAGAGAGTTATTTTTATATATATTTTGCTAAATATATACACCATATTACGCATTATAATCTTAATGTTCTTCAATATCTAATGCATTTGAATAAAACTGGCAAGTTTTTATGACAGCCACCATTTAAATGTTTATATTTTATATAATCTTCTTATTATAAAAATAAATAAAAGTGTAATTTAAGTGTTTGTATAGCTACAAAAGTTCATTATTACCTTCATATTAGGCTAATGAAGCCTATAGGCTACAACTAGACCCCCATAGTTTACAGCATTAGTTAAGAGATTTAATTTCCTTGAGAAAATTTGCCATTTATTGTAACTGATATCCAAAATAATCGATATTGAATCGAATCGGAATCGAATAGAATTGTGAAATTTGTGTCAATACCCAGCCCTACTACATACATTAGAAAACATTCAAGAAATAAGCCAATAGAGACACAGTGTGTTACATTACCAGGTGAGATGGTCACTGGTGTGACAGTTGTAGAGCTGGTGTTAATGCGGTCAGTGTCTGAAAGTTTGGATGAATAATGATTAATCAACAGAAACACAAATATCATGAATGTGTAGAAAGAGCTCATGTGAATATAATTACCTGCACAGTATGCAAGATAGCACTGGACTGGACTGACCAGCTCATAGACATAATAATCTCCTGGACAGGCTTTGACTTTAATGGGATAAGACCCGAAATAGCAGCAGAAATTGTTCCAGTGACCGCAGACATCTCGAGTGACGACTCCATCTGTTACTGTTGGGTGTCCACCACGGATCCACAGTGGGGCATCAGTGCCACATCTGGACTGAGCAACACACGTGTCTGGGATATGAGCGCTAGTGCTGTTAATGAAGAGACGATACCAGCCGCTCCAGGAGACAGACTGGTCACAGTTTCTGACTGAAGCATTTGTATTATTGATGGATCTCCATGGATTGTCCAGCACAGTGTAGTTGTTGCAGGGGTCTGACAGATTAGATGTAGTAAAAATATATTAAGAAATTAACAAGTTTCAGAAAAACATGTTTTACTACAAAATGTGACCAAAAATTGCAGGTTTAGACATTACTTTTCTTCTTCTTCTTCTTTTGCTGATTCAGAGCGATTCACTTCAATCCACAAAATTTTTTCAAATGCACTTATAGTATTATTTAAACATCAATACATCTTAAAGAAAATCTTTTAAATTGGCTAAACTACTATTAAGAGAGACAGAGATCTGTCGTTCACTCAGTGACAGTCAGTGTTTTACTGAGAAGAGATCAGACACGAGCTGCTCAGAAAACTCACTGAGAGTTACAGACCAAACAGAGATCGGTGTCATGAATCAGATTTGGGAGTCTGCTTTGAGTGCACTAGCTAGCAGTGCTCTTCCATTATAAAGTGTCAAAGTTTTCAAAAGTTGGATGAGTATATAATGTTTAATTATATTCATGTTAAGAGTGTCAGAAATATATAATAAATAAGTGTTTTATGTATGGATGAATTGGATATAATAGTTTTAAGTACAGCGGTTGTGTGTGCGTCGACTGAATGCGGTGATTTTGAACGATTAATTAATTGGTCTTTGATCCGTGTAGGTGTTCAAATGACAGAAGCAACATTTAATGCTGTTGTGGCTCACTTTTTGTTATTGTGACAGTTTTTTTTCCTTAGATATTGTTTGCAATGCCATTTTGATCCATTTTATTGTTAATCTGATTATTTACTGTCATTGTGACGCTGAGTCTGCTTTGAGTGCGCTGAGGAGAGGTGTTCAAATGACAGAAGCAACATTTAATGCTGTACACTCTTTATTTCATCCATGCTTCTGAATGCACACAAAAAATAAACTCTCCAGATCAGCAGCAGATCCAGTTGTTCCGTGTCTTCCTTCAGCTACACAACACAACGCAGATTGTAGTAGGGTCTGGCAGTCAGAATTGGGCCCGTTACACACAGTAACCAACAATGATGTCGATTTGACCATATTAAAGGGGCACTTGGCAACTCTAGTCATTTCTTTGCTGATTTTCACTTTTGTTTTGCATGTTTTCTCATCATCGCCCTCTACAGTTGTGTGGCGTGTAGATTTTCACAACACGGTCATAAAAAAAAAAACTCACTTGCGGCACCTTCTTCACGCTCTCTTCCGCTGCTTATGTGCAATTGTTATTTTCGGAGCCAGGCCAACTTTATCGTGTGGAGCTATTCTACTGAGTGGGTAATACATCATACACTGTGTTATCATAGAATTATGTCTAATTGCCACAAAGAACTTCATGTTTCTCGCTTGTTTGATTGTTCTCGCTTCTCACAAGACTTCTATTTCCAACTTACCGGGACGTCAATTGCAAGGTTGGTTTTTATTCAGTCCTGATCTCTGCCATAAAGGTATATTGGTTGTTACTGTATCCAAGTGATTTAACAGCATAAAATCCTGATTTCTTCAATATAATCCAAAAGATTTCTTAAAAGTTGTTCTGATCAAAAGTCGTTGAAAATTGAATTTTATTTGGACACACAGACATCAATAATCAGCCTGTGATTCTCAACAATGGTGACAATAATAAAGCATGTTGCCGTGCATTCTGGGTGCCACCAATCAAAACTCATTCATAGCTCCCATCATACATTGCTGTTTGAATAAATTATGATATGAATTGTCTTAGGAATATTCTTTGTCACCATAGTTGAGATTCATACACTGAATCTATATGTCTGTGTGTGCATGAAAGAGAGATTTTTTTTTTTTATCAGAACAACTTTTAAGAAATAGATTAGATTATATTGAGCGACCTGGAATTTATACGATTGAATCACTTTGAATCTGTAATGACCAATATACATTCTAATCAGAGATAAGGACTACTTAAGTTTCATCAGGTGTCTCCAATAATGGCCAATCATCACTCACTCAATCAATAACTTAAATAGCACATCAACTTTAACACTCTTCAGTGTTGATTTAACACTCAAATTTGAACACTTTAACACTCTTGAGTCTTTGCTGCGTCAGGAAACTGGACTTGAAATGTTAGCAATCAACATTACTATCATGATGAATTTTTAAGCGAAAATTACGTTTAAAGAACGTTTGAGGAACATTATACCTTTTAAAACACGTTCTTCTAACGTCAAGAAAACTGGACATTTTTCACATTCCCAGAACCAACACTGAATATTTAGAGAACGTTCATATTAGCGGGGAAATCAGTTATAATCAGTAATCTTAAAATAAATGTATTTAGTTTCAACATTTCAACCAGTTATTGTAGATGAAATCATATGAAGTACATATTCTAAGTTGAACTGACAAAAATATTTTTTTTAGTGTATTACCTGCAGTCGTCACCGGTGTTACAGTTGAAGAGGCCAAGTACAGTCTTAAGACATCTAAAAAATAATTATGAATAGAAATGAATCAACATGTTACAGAACTCAATGAAAAAGCAGTCAAATAAACATAATGTTAATATAAGCTTTTACTTAAAGTAACAGTTTGCCTAAAAATTAAAGTTCTGTCATCATGACTTTCACAGAATAATGTAAAGCTTTGTGTTTCTTTGAACACTCTGCTGGTGTTTCCCTTATGAACACCTGTAGCATTGTAAAAATCAGTACTGGGGAATTTACAGTGTGACGTGACGTGAAGAATAAACAAGATCTGATTCACTCTTCATTACATCAGCATACAGACAAAAAGCAAAAAAGCAACAAAAAAAAAAAACAACAAAAAAAAAAACATGGTTTAGACTTACACAGAATCCCAGAGATGAGAGGATGAGCTTTTATAAAACCTGAAATATGAAGAACAAGTCAATAAAAATAACTGAAGTTGTATTGGATTGAGTCTGAGAAAACTACATTCATCATCCGTTCACAGCTCATGAGGTTTTTGGAGCAACGAGAGCTAACCTTTAAACACAAGACAATACTCACCTTTATGAAAGGAAGCCATTGTCAGTTTTGACAGTCCAGTTTTTTGTTTATTCACAAACCAGTTCAGAGGACGAGTTTCCTTTACAGTTAGAGAATAAACAAATTAGCCATTGCATTTACATAAACAATAATAATAATAATGCAAACACACATATAAAACATTATACAGCATTTGATTTTGAGACTTTTAAAACAGTTTTTGCCAAGCATTATGCAATAAAGGATGAAACAACTTGATCAATTCCTCATTCTACGAGGTAGCTATTGGCTAATTCATACGAATGACCGACCCCTGACCCCGCCCCTAAACCTACACTCTAAAAAGAGATTGTTGTGTCAGTTTTAACACATGTAGTGAGTGTGCTCAGGGACAACACATGTTGTGTCAAATTTAACACAGTATATGTGTAAGTTATTTTAACACACAAATTGTCATTTTAAAAAAATAAAGCAAAAGGGGCAGATATAAAAATATGAATCATTTAATCAATAATCGAGTACAGAATGCATGTGCACACAAAGAACAAGACAATGTTTCAATCTCAATGACTGGACAGACTCACTGTACTGTACATTATTGAGTTATTCAAGCTTCAACCCCTGATTGATAATGCTGCTTTTGACAAAAGTTCATGAAGAGAAAACAGTTAACCGAATTTGCACATTAGAATAAATATAGAAACTGACAAAATTTTGTAAATAAATAAATAAACTTTTATTTACACAGGTGTGTTTGTTTGAGAAATTACTGCATCTTAGAATCACAAATATTAGTTTCCCAAAAACATCAGACTTGAAAATTGTTGAATTGTAGAATGAAGTGCTCTCAGTTTCATCCTTAGCAATGTTAGTAAGAGTCCTGACCTGCTTAAAGCTCAAATTACTCAACTATAACGTAGTATTAACTTATATTAGTAGTACTATAACTACACACAAATCAATTTTACCTGCAAATCAAATCAATTTTAAAATCAATTTTAACAAACAAATCAATTTTACACAAATCAATTTTAACTGCACACACATCAATACATGTTTAGACATAAAGAGAGTGATGAGGATCATTATGAGCTGATATACTGTAAGCTGATATATCTTACCTGATATAAGCTGATCTTACCTGATATAAGCTGATATACAGTGATCCTCACTCGACACGACTGATGAAAAAGTTTGTATGTTGATATGTTTATGGATAAGTTATCTGTCCATCATTCTAATGAGGAAATATGAGCCCAAGTCCACTGTTTTCCTTCCTCAAATTCAAATACATCTTTCCACACAATACACAGTGAAATCCCCGTGTTAAATTACTCCTTAGAGTACATAATGTCCAACTACAGGGTGTTGAAGCAGTGTTGAAGTTAATGAGATAATTAAGTAATTAATTAAGTGATGATTGAGCATTATTGAAGACACCTGATGATAACAAGCAGAATCACTGAAGGAAAGAGAAACACAAGACTTACTGACTTTGAGCCGTTATTTTGTTGGTGGGGTTTGGGCTAGCATCTAGACTACATTATTGCACTTATTATTACCAGTTTGACTTTATTTTTGTCAAACATCTCCACACGGTTTTATTTAGATTTAACAGAAGTTTAGATGGTAATGTTTTATGGAATGTTTCCGGTCACCATTATGGTGGTCAGTGTTTGCTTTAGTTGGTCTCTGGACCCTTTCCGTTTTAAGCATTTTTTTCTGACTGTTCGTAGTACCCCAGAATACAGTTTAGATGATGGGGCGGGGTCGGGATGACATGTGTGGCTCCACCCACCCCCAGTTTGATTGGTTTATAATTGCGTAGACGATTTAGGTCCAAGCATGTGCATTCTTTTATGTATGAATTTATCAATGATTTGGCCATATTAGAGAAATATTAAACGCTAACTGTAATCATACCTTATCTTATCGGTTTACCATGGTGTTTTTATTGTTATGATCTATTGGCTAATACAAACTAAACAAACATTTGGTGAAGGCACCTGTTCTTCAGAGAGATGACTTTAGCACGTCATTGACTGGCTTCATCATATTTCTATCAGGGTCGGTGGATC